CTGGAGCTGCCGGCGCCCTCGGCTCCCCGCCCCGGGAGGTCGTGGACACCCCAGAGCGCGCGGCTGCTCTTCCCTCCGCGGCCGGCGAGCTCGGCTCCGCCGCCGGTAAGTCATCCTCCTTGGACGGCGCCGCGGTTTACTGCTGATTGATGATAGTTTCCTCTTTCCTTTATGAGTTTCCTTCTTCGATTTGAGTTTTACTTTGGTTTATTTATGTATAGATGCTGATAAGGAGGTTCCTGGAGGTTCGGAGGTCAGCGGCGCCGTTGGCACCGACAAGGCAGCCGGTCTGTGTTCCGGCGCCGAGCTCGAATCGGCGGAGCCGGGTGTTTCGGATGCGAGATTAGAAGCTCCGGCGGCGCGAATCCACGGACAGAAGCTGGGTTGCGGGAGTACGGGTTCCGATGGAGCTGCCGCAATCAGCCATATCCCCTCACCGGTTGAGCCGTCTCCGTCAGACGCCAGTTCGAATTCAGACACCAACACCACCCCTGGGGCCATTAGTGGTTCTTCTTCCCCTGCGGAGGGGTCCCTATCCCAAGCAGAAGCAGCTGATTCTCGAGGACGCGAGCCAGAAGCACACGAAGAGCCAACGGGCGCGCGTGGGGCGCCTGATGCTGCAGCTGCGGTGGCCTCTAGCGAGCTCGCAGTCGAGTCCAGAGGGGATTTCGACGGTCAAAACGGCCTTATCCAAGGGGAATTGGAGTTGCGTGCCGGTGGCTTTTTGCGTGGCGAAGGGGCAGAGGCGGAGCCTGAGGCCCCAGACGCCTCCACGACGCAGGCCAAGGAAGGAGTGGACGGGATGGAGACGAGGTTGGATGACTCTGAGGCTTCAGACGGCTCGACCACGCAGGAGGACTCTGACACCGACGTGGAGACGGAGTCCAGCAGCTCCAGCGTAGAGGAACAGGACGCGGGATATGGCGTCCACGTCCCACTCATGGTATGACTTCCGTGCAAACCTCTGAGCTGTGTGCTACTCATCCACGTTGATATGCTTAGCGTCGGTAAACTGATCATGTATATGTTTCAATCTGCCTTTTGATTTCTTCAAGTTGGTTCATTTGGATTTTTTGACAATAGTCCATCGTACTAACACACTCAAGCCGCAAAAAATTGCAATCTGTGGAACATTAGACGGTAGGCGTAGGGTAGCAATGCTTCCTTTTCGTTGTAGAAGAATCTGCTTTATGTGGTGCTCTGCTCCTCTGTTGATATTTGGTATCTGGTTTCTTATTTGGTTGGGCTGTTTTGATATGGTCATTTATATCCTATAGTAATTGAGCAAGGCACCATGCTTGTGCGAATGGACAACCTGTTCAGCTAACTGAAGAAATTAGGCAGTGGGCGGCTGGGCGCAGGGTAGCAATGCTTCCTTTTTCTGTATACAATCTGCATTATGTGTTGATATTTATTTTCAGTTTCTGGTTATTTACTAGTTTTTGGCTATGCTATTTTGATATGCTCATTTATGTATCCTAGTAATGGAGCAAGGGACCACGCTTGTACAGTTGTACTAAAGGGCGTTCTGTGCAGCTAGCTGAGGAAATTAGGTCCTACTACATGAAAAGGATGCACCCCTGTTTGCATAAATAAACAGCACATGGATTGTTCAAGGCAAATTAGCATTGACTTGGTTCCTCAAAAAAGTAAAAATAGCATTGACTTTGTCCAATACTGCAGCCGTGTCTGTAAACCTTGCTTGCGCTGTTATATGAAGGTCTATGTTTGATATAGTGGAATTCTTCTGATTAGGCGATGATGTGTACCTGCGTTTTTCCCCTTTGTAGGAACAAGTGACCTGTGAGGTGGCCAGGGAGAACAACACTTCAGAGACGAAGAGCTCTGATAGGTACTATTATTTTGTTTTATATCTTATATGAGCACCTTACACCGAGTATAGCTTGATCTGTTTGGCATACATGCATGGTTTATTCATGTTTTGACATGCTTAATTCATCTGCAGGATGGATTCACTAGCTGTATCAACACTTGTATTGGCTTCAGGTGCAGCCATGTTACCTCATCCTTCAAAGGTAATGGGCCTAATAGTTGTTCTTTTCAGTCTGTTGTAGGTAAAATATATTTGAGCTAATTTTATTCTACCCATTAGATCAGTGGAAATACTGTCATGTTCGTTCTGCTCTCAATGTTCTGGAAGGTGCTGTTTAAGGCATTGTCAAATAGTTAAATGTAAAGAACGGAGGCACTTGTTACATAGATCCTTCTCTTCTCATAATTTGAGATTAAATTGAGCTCAACATTACTCAATTAACTCATGTAGTGATTTAAGCAACTCTTTGTGAAGATTTCGGCATCTAGACTCATATGTTTGCTTTTCTTGACTTCATATTTAGTGTGCTTCCAAATGTTAAAACGTATATGCCATCTATAGTTCCTAGAAGGCCGACAACAAACAACGACTCTAGGTTGCTGTCATACATATATACAGCTGTAACTGCATCTACTGGCTCTTTCATGCAGATACTATTCAGGGAGGAATAATTACTCTCCATGTGCATTTATTCTGTTATATTATGTGTTAAAATAAAATGCATCCAATCAATTCATGTTGCTCTTTAGTTTCTCTAACGTTGACACCTGTTAAAATAAACAGGTGCACACAGGTGGTGAAGATGCTTATTTCATAGCTTGCGACGGCTGGTTTGGTGTAGCGGATGGAGTTGGTCAGTGGTCATTTGAAGGTAAACCATACCTTCTCTGCTAGAGTACTGTTGTGTGATCTTGTGAGTGCACTGAACTGCTGGGTGTACGAATTTCGCTTTACACCTTGTTTCTGTTATTGCGTTCACTCTTTGAAAATGTCTTTTAGCTAGCAGTTAACATCAGTGTGTTTCTGATGTCCATATCTAATTTATTTGCCGTCTTTGTCTTCATTAATTTTGATGGATCTAAGTTCTCATCATACACTGTTATACTTGGGAATATGATCGCTCAGAACTGTGGATCTGACTTTTGTCCTCAGGAATCAATGCGGGGCTGTATGCGAGAGAGCTAATGGATAGTTCCAAAAAAATTGTCATGGAGAATCAAGGGCCACCAGGGATGAGAACCGAGGAAGTTCTTGCTATGGCGGCAGTTGAAGCACGATCCCCTGGTTCTTCAACTGTCTTGGTTGCTCACTTTGATGGGCAGGTATGCTCTTCTGTCATCAAGATTTGGCATGTCTACCACTTCCTGTCACATTTATTGGTGGTTAATTGTACATGTATTTTTTCTCATCAACTGATTGATATGGCAGGTCCTTCATGTATCTAATATTGGCGATTCAGGATTACTGGTGATAAGAAATGGACAAGTATATACACAAACAAAGCCGATGACATACGGTTTCAATTTCCCGTTGCAAATAGAAAATGGTGTTGATCCTTCAAGACTTGTACAGGTGACACAGCACTTGTTAGGTTTATATATTAGCCCTGTTACTATTTTGTTTCTCTTTAGCTTTCTCAGATTTTAACATATGAATTTCTCTCCTTATTCACAGAATTACGCTATCGATTTACAAGAAGGTGATACCATCATAACAGCGTCAGATGGTCTGTTCGACAACGTCTACGACCATGAGGCGGCAGCCATTGTCTCGAAATCTCTAGAAGCCGACCGAAAGCCTACGGTCAGAACCTAATAACTGTTTTTGTTGGGAAGAAGGCAACCTAATAAACCCACCTACAGAAGGTAGTCAACCAAGAACCATCCTGACATATTCGTTTCACGTGACTTGTGCAGGAGATCGCGGAGCTCCTGGCTGCGAGAGCGAAGGAGGTGGGCAGGTCCGGGTCCGGGAGGAGCCCGTTCTCGGACGCGGCGCTCGCAGAAGGATACCTGGGCTATTCCGGGGGCAAGTTGGATGATGTAACAGTTGTCGTGTCCATTGTTCGGAAATCTGAACTATAGACTGTTGATAAGTTGTATTTCTATATCTGATGGCCATGGCCGCAGCAAGTTGCGAGCCATATTGGGATAGAGTTCAAATGATTGCATCTTGGGCCTGAAGAATGACCCAATTCTTTAGCTTCCATGCATTAATCGTGTCTGGGGATGTGGGAATAGGGAGATGCCATCTATCTACACGACACGATAGCTTAAGCAAAGAATAGAGAGCTAAGCTAGAATACTAACAAAAAAGATATTCACGCTCTTCTAAAAATATTTGACCAACAGTGAGGTACGAAAGCGCGCTTGTGCGACTTGGAAGGCAGTACTGAGGCTGCTTGGTTTGATGCCAATATTAGGCAAAACCAAAAGTAGGCTATATATTTCGGAAGTGGAGTTTCTACACCCAGGAGCAAATGCTCCTGGTGTGAACAGTAAAATAAAAAAAATTCAAAAAAGTGTCAAAAAATTCTGATTTTTTTTTGCGGCATACTTATACAAATGTTTGTTGTGCACGTAAAATTTCATCGCGAAATCACATTGGTGGAAGGTGTGGTAAAAAAAACAAAATCGATGCTCTGAAAATGTTACTTACAAAAGCATTTTGAAGCTCTGGTTTTGTTTTTTTCGACATGACTTTCACGAATGTGATTTCATGATGAAAATTTTCATGCACAAGAAACACTTGTGAAAGTATGTCACAAAAAATTTCAGAATTTTTTAATTTTTTTTTTGATTTTACTATTCACACCAGGAGCATTTGCTCCTGGGTGTAGAATGGTACTTCCGATATATTTCTAGAGATTGGTACGAAAAATCTGTAGTTAAGAGTTGCCAACACACTGGCATCAAACCAAGCAGTCTCATCGTGTATGGAAACGAGTCATGTTTATGAAAGACGCTCGTTTAGACGTGTATAAATGAGACATCTGTATAAAAATGGAATGGAAACTCTCACATAAGATACATCTCGGTACATGCAGCAAGCCAGCAACGAGGCTTGGTTTGCTTTCTCAGCTGTGTCGAGCGAGTATAGCGGAAATGGTCGCATGAACAAACATGTTACATGTTTGCTGAATTACAGGCGCGCCGCGCCCAGCTGCTCACATGAGCAGAGCCGCGGCAACAGTCGCTGCGGCTAGGAGGACACTTGCTGAAGCGGGGAAGGTGGTCGAAGCGGAGGCCGACGGCGATGGAGCTCGAGCGGTGGTGGAGTCGCCACTTCCGGTTCCGGCTTCGGCTGGTGATTCCGCCGACGGCGTGGATGGTGACGGCGAGTCCCCGAAGAACGGAGCACCGGAAGACGGGGCAGGTGCAGGTGCTGGAATGACGGCAACAACGTCAGTACTTAAAAGCTGCGATTTTTTTACTCCAAAAAAGAAAGGATTATATATGTTGGTACTTTATTCGCAAAAATAAATAAATAAGAGGAACGCTTCGGTACACCCCCTCACAAAACGTATAAAGGATAATTTAAACCTTTGGCAAATAGTATCCACTTTCATACATAGGATAGAATATGCCATACGTTCGGAAGACCACCTCTACGCTGGAATACGGCATAGGCACGGCTAACCTGGGCCGGCTCATTTGCGCTGGAAAATCAACAAAAATTAATCCGTACATTGGTATCGAACTAACAACCTGGGATATAATTCATACCGATGCTAGCCACTTCGGCTGCCTAACTCAAGTGGCCGATTAGCAGTGCACCGCTTAAAGAATTGGAGAAAGGGGCAACACTTTGACACCAATTCACAAATACTAAAATGGGTGCGTGGATCTAACACACAAGATCCCGCGAGTGCATAACATCACTAGCCCAAAACGATTTTTTTTTTTGAAATTTCGTATGTGAATTTCTGTTTGACAAAGTAATATTTTTTAAACCCAATCATTTTCAAAATCTGTGAACATATTTTCTAAAACTCAAACCTTTTGTGAACAATGTTTCAGACTCTCAAACTTTGTTTTGGAAAAATAAGAGCAGAATTGAAAACGAGAACATTTATTGAAACTAGAAACAATTTTTTTTAAATACGAACATTTTCTTAAAACAAGAACAAAACTGAAAACACGGACATTTTCTGAAACTATGAACAATTATTTCAAAATGCAAACATTTTATGAATTCCTCGGAATGTTTTTGTATTTTCAAATTGCTCATAATGTCAAAACACAACAGTTTTACAAGGAGCAAACAAAACTTTGAAGACGAATATTTTTCTTTTAATATTTTATGAAAATCACTATTAAGTTTTGAATTTCAAGAAAAATACGAATAAAAATTTGAAACAGTTTTTTTTTAATTTGCTCGAACATTTTTTTGTGTTCGTGTAGGAGAAATCACCATGTTCAACGTAGGGTGTCGGGGTAGGTCAGAAGGCTCCTTTTGGGAGCATGTTTTTCCTCGAGATCTGTCAAATGACCTAATTTTTTTCACTAGCTTGCATGAACAATTCAAGGCACCATGCCAAGGTTTTTTGGTTTTCTTCAAATTTTACATTTTCTGGAGTTTTCTTTTTCAAAAAAGGGCGATAAATTGCCGAACGTGTCGCAACTTGCATACGGTTTCGAAAATCGTTCAAACTTGGCATTGATTCCTACCAGGGGTATGCCCGCCTGCTTGCAAAAAATGGGTCATTTGCAAGCGTATCCAAAAATAGACCATGTTCAATGTTGGGTGTCTGGGTACGTTAGAAGGCTCCGTCTGAGAGCACGTTGTTTCTCGACATCCTTGAAATGGCCTCAATTTTTCCCATGGCCTTGTATGACCAATTCAAGGCACCATGCCAAGTTGTTTTGGTTTTCAATAAATTTGCATTTCTAGAGTTTTCTCGGTAAAAGGGGGAAAATAAATGCCCAGGCATGTTGCAACTTGCATACATTGTCGAAAATAGTTCAAACCTGACATAGATCCCTACCATGTGCATGCTCACCTTCTTGGAAAAGTCGTGGTCATTTGAAGGATATATAAAAACAGACCATGTTTAAATGAGGGTGTTCAGGTAGGTCAGAAAGCTACGCCTGAGAGCATGTTGTGTTTCGACATCCATAAAATGGCCCCAATTTTTTATATGACCTTGTATGGCCAACTAAATGCACAATGCCAACTTATTTTCTTTTTTGATGAATTTTGCATTTTCTGGAGTTTCCTCGGCCAAAAAAGGTCGATAAATGGTCAGACGTGTCGCGACTTGCATATGGTGTCAGAAATCATTCAAACTTGACATGGATGTCTACCATCGGCATGCTCACCTACTTCAAAAAGTTGGGGTCATTTCAAGAATGACCAAAAGCTAGACAGTTGCCAAAAGGCTCTGGTTGAGAGCACGTTGCTACTTAATGGACGCAGCGCTTGAACACCACCTTTCATGGGCCAGCCAAACTACACGAGCGATCGTTCGATCGCTTCTTCGTGATTCGACCAAAAGAAAACTTCATCATGGTTGACCTGGACGAAAAGTTGACCATTGACATGTTTGACCTTTGACCATTAACTATAAAAAAAGGGTTCGTCTTTTTGGAAAAGTTCATGGACTTGAAAAAATAAGCGGATTTGCAAAATGTTCATAAATTAGAAGTACCATGAATTAAAAAAACCATGCATTTTGATAAAAAAAGTTCATGATTTTTTTTAAAAAAATCATCAGTTTTGCAAAAAGTTTATCAATTTTGAACAAAGTCCATCGATTTAAAAAAAACCCATCTAGTTTGAAAAAAAATCATTCATCTTGAGAAAGATTCATCAATTTAGATTTTTTTAATCAATCTTGAATAAAGTTGATCGACTTTAAAAATCATCAATATTAAAAAAAGGTTCATTGATTTTTTCTAAAGGAAACTGAAAAAGGTTGCATATTGCAAAAGAAAAAGTAAAACAAAAAGGAACATAAAAAGGAAAAGAAAACGAAAAAAAGGGAAATGAAAACCCAAAAAAACGATTGAAAAAACAAGAAAAAGGAAAATAAGAAAGAGGAAAGAGGAAAGAGGAAAGAAGAAAATGACGAGAAAGAACAGTTTAAACACAAGTGCTCAAGTCGGCTTGATGGTTGTAACGTCCAACTATGTACCAGGAAGTACGTGGTTCGATTCCTCTTAGGCTCGCATTTTTTTCGGATTTAAAATCATTAAAAGAGAAGGGAAAGATGGGCCGGCCCAGCTCACTGTACATCGTATACAGCGGATAAATGATTTCTAATATATGACCATCATGCCCTTAGTTATGAAGAGGTTTCGATTAATCTGGCCCGTCTATGTGTTTAGAGGGGTGTACCGAAGCAGAAGTGAATAAATAAATGTTGGTACTTTGCTGAGATGTCGTCGACAGAAGGGGAAGAGAAAGAGTGGTTAGTGAACACACCTGGAGACCCTCCGGTCACGCCCGGAATGGAAACTGCATTAGCGAAGAGAGAGATCGTCAGAATATAGTTCCCTCAGTTTTTTCCCAGTTCATAATTCCGTCAGGTTCAGTATTTAACAATGGTTTTGCTAGGTGTCAATCGACTAAGATTTTACTTCAGATTTTGTCAACTCTCAACTGATTCTGAAAGATAGTGTACTATAACCGACTGAGAACTCTCAACTGATTCTGAAAGATAGTGTACTATAACCGACTGAGAAGTGCAGATTACTCTTTTCGTCACTAAATTAAAATTGCAATTTGCACATACACGGACCCAACAACAACTAACTGTTTCAAAAAAATTGCAAGACAAGGAAACATGACCGATGCTCCAAGGTAGTTGACTTCAGTTTTATGCACACGACTGCTCCACCAAAGACGCACATAAATGGACCAGAAAATGGAGTGACTATCGCTCAATCCGATATAAGAACATTTCGTTCTCAGTCAGCTATTGATAGGCGTTGTATTTTTGAATTTGCGAGTGGTGGAAAAACACGAAGAAGAAAAAAGAACACTTACTGTGGCACTTGCTGAATGGAGGCGTCTTGACCTTGCAGGCGCCGGGCAGCTGCAGGGCCTTGGTCATGTTGAGGGTGACGCCGTAGTCCTGGCCACCCTGGAAGGCCTGGCACAGGCAGGCCACCTCCTTCTTCACCACGTCCTTGAGGCCCGAGCAACACGACTTCTCGGGCGTCGCCACCGTGCTCCCCTCCTGCACGTAGCTCAGGCACCCCGCCAGGCTGATCAGGGCGTCGCTACAGTCCACGGCCGGCGCTGGCGCGGCCACGGGCGCACTGTCGACGTGTGCTACCACCGTGGCTAGTGCTGCAAGAAGCAGCAGCCATGGCCGTGCCGTGTCCGCCATCGACCTAGCTGCCATTCTCGCCGGCTGCCGCTGTAACTTGTGTGCACGCTGCACTAGAGCTATCTACAATAGTAGTTTCAGAACGTGTGATATGGTCTGTGGAATGTGGTGCGAGATTGCTAGGGGGTGCGGGGAGGGCGTTTTTATGTTTGCGATGGGCTGCCAGCACCACATGCACCACTGCATCAGTGGGAAGTTTGGTTAGTGTTACACTGTACTGGCACGGGCACTGGCAAGAGACAGAAATGGAACTCATTGCTCCTCATCCTAGCTTTACAGGTCAAAGAAAATGGCGGCATACAGCAGCGATTCTCTCACCGAGACACTGACATCTGCGCACGGCTGCGAAATGCTTGAGAAATCATGGCGTCTGTAGGCATAGGATCGGTGTGTTGATGCGCCCTTCTGGTCCCAGCCACTAGTGAAAGGGCGGCTTCGGCATGGCATTCCTTTTCCGAAGCGGCGGTGTGCCGACATGATGAAGTTCGAATGGTGGCAGTGGTCTGTGCGGGTGAGCCAAAAGAAGGTCACCGCGAGCCGTCGCCGTGGTCGGCCGGTGACCATGATAAAAGGGCCGGAAGCCTTTTTTTTTTTGCGGGGGAAAAGGGCCGGAAGCCTTGGGATAACTTTTTTTTTAGGGAAAGCCTTCGGTAGCTGGGTGGGCGGTTGCACGGCAGAAAATAAAAGAAACCGAGCGCACGACGGCGCGGGGGAGTGGAATCGAGACTTTCCGAGGGCTGGGGCACACGTCGACCGAGCAATATTACCAACGCCGGTATGAACATCAAACCTCCTTTTTCTAGGTCTGAATGCAATGCCATGATCGATGTATGGGCTAATGGCTGCTGACGTCGCCGCGTCGAATTGCTCGCGTCATGTCCAAGCAACGGCGCTAGCCGATAACATGTTCGATCGTCTGCAAGTTGCGGTTTGCGATTACGGAACACTGACGACGAGGAAACACAACAAATAACGAATGATTGTGAACGGGCCGTTCACTTTTCTTCTTCTATAGATAGAGTCGAGGCTAACACACGTACGTAGCAGATTACAACCGGAGTAAAAATTTCTAGAGTGGATCGATCCTAAAAAAGGTACCTACTAGCACTTCAGTTGGTATCTCGTGATAAGGCTAACTACAAACTGAGGGCCAGTTCTTTTGGGCAATTCTCCGAGAATTGACCCCCTTCCCAGCTTCTCCCAAAATTGGCACTCTATATTTTCTTATAATTCCTAGCTAATTAGCTCTTAACTAGCTAGGAATTGTAAAAAAAAGATGAAGTGGCAATTCTGGGAGAAGCTGGGGAGGGGGTCAATTCTCGGAGAATTGACCAAAAGAACTGGCCCTGAATCCGCTTGGCTAACTTTTGAAAACAGAAGGGCTTAAAATAGCGCTGCAACGGCAAGCGCTGCGCTAACGACCATGGCTCCCATGGGAGCGACGGAATTAGCGGCAGAAGCAGCCGGCGGGGCGGTCGGGGAGGTCGCCGGCGCTGACGAGGGAGCTGGAGAGCTGATGGCGGCGGGCAGCGTGGCAGCGGGCGCTGGGGTCGTCGGCAACGGGAGCACTGGACCTGCAACCAATATTTTTTGCGCTAGGCGTTAGTGATGAGCATTCTTGACTTCAATTCGGTTTAGAAAACAAGTCCAATAATCAACTGAACAGCTACTGTATTTATTCTGTTCGAGAAAATTATTTCACAGTAGAACAATTTCGTGGATCAATTTTTAGTTCGTCGTCGAAGATCAGTACATACCAGGTTTGGGTTGTGCCGACGCAGGGGGTTGCGAAACGGGAGCTGCACAAGCATAGTAATTAATCAGGAAATCAGTTAAAAATGCACCAAGATTTAATATTTTCCTTTCTGTTAAGATTTTTGTAATAGATCTAGATTTTTTAGGGTTAATAAAAATAAGATTAGATTAATCCTCACAAAAAAATAGGGTTAACAACAACTTTAGATTAAACATCGCAAAAACATTTTTCAGATTAAAAAATGTAACAGACAAAATGGGAACCCTAACTGGGCCGCTCCAAGCCGTCTATTGGTACAAGATGGATAGCCATGGGCCATTTCAATAGGTGCATCAGCCTAATCTCACAAACCGATCGGACGCGGGCTACGCAGAGCGTCGGACAAAGTTAACAATGAACCCCACTAAAAAAAAAAGGTTAACCAATGAACCGCGGCACACGATCACGAAGCATACCTGGCGTAGTGGGAAGCGTGGGCATCGGCGACGGCGCGCTAGATCTCGGTGCGGACGCTGGCATCCAAGGAGCAAGAGCAGGCGCTGGGGTCGGCGGCAGGGGCAGGCGCTGGGGTCGGCGGCAGGGGCAGAACCCGAGCAGCGGCCATGGGAGACGACGCCGGCACGGGCGCTGGTCCGGGGCTGACAGAAGAAGGCGCCGGCCCCGGCGCCGCAACAGGACCGCCGGAGGGCGCATGCGCGGGGGGCACGGTCATCATAGGCGCCAGAGCGGGCGCGTTGGACGACGGAGCCGTGGTGGGCGGCACAGGCAGGGCAGGCGTCGGCAGAACGGGCGGGACTGCTGACAGTGACGTGGGGGCCGGCACTGGCGGCTTCGACGGAGCGGTGGAAGGCGCCGCGGCCTTCTCCTGGAAAGAGGACCTCGCAATGCTGCGACGGAACCACAGGTCGTGAAACATCACGGGAATGTTGACTGCAACGACGGGAAAATGAAAGAGAGAGTTAAGCTTGATCCCCGTCGCCGATGACGGTGAATACGATCTAAGTAATAGATCGATGTGGCAGATGCATGTACACGACGAGCGATCGAACTAGATGCGCAAGAAAAGCAACCTCTGAAAGGTTTGGAGTGTGTTGTACTTACAGGATTCAGCGACGGTGGTGGCGCAGAGCACCAACGCCAAGACGGCGATGCTCCTCGTTAGTAGAGCCGCCATGGGAGGCAGGCGATGGAGGCTGGATGGGTTAGGGCTAGATGAGCTGCGCGTTCGCGTGCGTGTGTTTCCTTCGCGCGCTCTCTCGTAACAAGGGCTTTTGATGTGGATCGTAGGGCAATATATATAGCGCGAAACAATATGGAGAAGCTAACGATTTTTAGGATTTTTCGTAACAATATAATTCTGAATCTAGCCACCCTCAGAAAAAAAGAGCTGAATCTAGCCTTAGTTGTTAAGATGTCCTGATTCTTTACGAGGGAAAAGTTATATTTTCCGGTTTTTTCTTTACAGATTAATAATATTAGGGTTGCCTCCAGACGAATTAGGATGGGTTCATTTTTTTTAGGGATATAGGATTGGTTCATGTGTTTCTTTTGAGGAAAGCAAAATTAGGTTCATGTGCTGGGAAAATCTAGTATCGTTCTCTCGGTAATGCGCACGCCGCTCACCACGTGGCCCGGCCCCACTATATGTGTCAGGACGATTTTATTCCTTTCTTTTAGTTTTTTTGAATATGTACTATTTCATATTTTTTAAATTAATTTGTATTTTAAAATATGTTCATCACTTTTTTGAAAAAATCACCATGTGTTGAAAATAGTTGACCGTATGTATAGAAAATGATCATCGTGTACTTGAAAAATGATTCAACGAGTATTTCAAAAAATGTCACCTTGTGTTTGAAAAATGGTCATTGTCTATTTTTTTACCGCATATTAAAATTTTATATTTATATTTATTTTAATCACTTATTACAGAACTTAATGTATAAATATATATAGGAAAACTATTTATGTATTGAAAAATGTTCATAGTATGTTTTGAAAAGTTTCAGCACATATTGTAAAAAGTTCATGAATAAAACGAGAAAATAGACCAAATAAAATAAATAGAAAATGGAAAATGAAGAGAAAGTAAAAATAAAGTAGAAACGACAGCAAAACTGAAAGGAAAAAAGAGAAGCAAAAAACCAAAGACAAAAAAATGAGGAAGAAAAGAAGCAAACACCGTAGGTCGAGTCAAGCA